ATACTTACTCTTGTGAAAAAATCATTAAACAAAGATGTAGACGATAAATGTAATCAAAGTAGCATTGCTTTTCTCATTAGGACTTTCACTGGGACTCTCACAACCTATTCCCGGATGAAGATGGAATTATTTTGCCATACATATTTGTTCTCTTAATTAACAAAGTGCTCGTTTATTGCCTCCAAAATTTTAAAGGCTGTACTAAGGTTATCTAATTCTTTGACCTTGCAGGTTCGTTTAATTTGTAGACTGCTCCCTGAAAATGCCCACTGAGCCCCAAATTGATATTGTATGGGAACAAATCTACATGTACGCATGCTTGACAAGTAGTGTTTTTTTTTTATTATTATTTTTATTTTGCATAATTAGCACTATGTAAGTGTCGCCAATGAGACTTTTAGTTTTAATACAGCATATTGTGTAGTTGAAGAACTGACGTCCTAAAGACTAACTTCTTATTCGATTTGACACCATGGGAATTTTTCAAGAAAGACATTGAACTACGGTAGGAGGTTTATAAGATATGGTATTATTTAAAACAAAAAAAAATTAAAATGGAATGATAGTGGTGTACGTTTAAATCAAACAGATAATTGATCAATTTATTTTTTAATGCAGAGATATATCCTGATGTATGAACATATTGTATCAAAATAGTATCATCTAGTGTAATTGTGCTACACAAGGGAAATATGGCCCTTTAGAAACACACAAAAGCATTGCACCGATTTCATGTCCAACTAACAAATGGTTTAAGTTTTAATTCTAATTGATATTTGAAAAAAATGGAAATAAATCACTTTACATTTTTTATATTAATGATGATTTTCTGAGTAGGATATGTTCATCTGAATAAAATAATTGCAACACGAGCCATGCAGTGTTTGCATAAAGACGAGGCAAAAATGGATAAAAAAAAATTGGAGACTGGAAGAACGGCCTACTAACTATTTCGATCATATTTACGTATATCACATATTTAATTTTGAGGAACGGAACTTTATGAATAAAATATTTCTTTAGACACAATTCCCCAAACCAGTCATAGTATCAAATATTAAAAAAAATGTAGTGCGAGTATATGTACCCAACATATGCAATAGGAGAAAGATATACTTTATATATAAAGGTATTCCATGCCAGACATTGTATGTACATGAATGCTAATTTTTTCATCTAGGGTCTTCATTTTGGTTCAAAATTGACCGGAAAACTGTAAATAAACTGGTAAACTTTCGGTTTTTTTCCCAAAGAGAGCATTTTTTTGTCTTAAAGATTGACAGCATGTTGTTCTATTCATTACCTCAATTTTAAGCCTTAATGACAATTTTTTTTTTTTTTTTGAAATTTTATTATCTGTAAATAACACTAATGCTTTTGAAATTCTTTGAACATTAAGCTGCAAAGGATATTAAAAACCAGTGAGCATACTATTGAATCTGATAACCGTAAAATAAATAAAATATAAAGAGTACATTGAAAATATTCTTTCTCTTCAAAAGGACGATATCCTTATCGAGGATCATCAAGTCGATTCACAACATTATCTTGGAAGATATCATTTTCATTATTAAACTTTGAATATTATGTCGCAATAATGATGGCTCAAAGATCATCGACTAATATATATATATATATATATATATATATATATATATATATATATATATATATATATATATATATATATATATATATATATATATATATATATATATATATATAATTTGGTATATCTATATTTGGTATATATGTTCGGTGTATTTATATTTGATATATCTATTTTTTTCCCTTGGTTTGAAGAATGGGCACTTTTAAAGGCAATGAAACTCATCTACTTAATATTTATATATTCTGATTTACCCCTCCCCCCCCCCCCCCCCCCCGAGAACAATAATTCTTAATAGACAATTTGTAAACACAGAATAAATAAACAACAGAAAAGCTTTTAAAATCAACTCAATGAAAATTAAGTCTAATAGCATCAAAACGATGCTTTAAAAAAAAAATACTCTTCATAACAAATGTTTTGACGTCACACCAGTTTCGCTTCAATTGATTCAACATTTCAGTTTTTACCATCACCCAATAATGACAACATTTTATTTTGGTTGAAGAGGAGGCCGGTATAACCAAAACTCTGAAGACTTAGGAAAATCATTTATGAAATTTCGCATCGTGTCAGTGCACACAGAGCTCAGGTAGACAGATAAGACAATAGCTGCCCCAGGTAATTAATCGACAATTGATAAAAGCAGTGAATAGGTGATGTGGTCAATTGTTTTCAATTAAATTCTCACTCGTTAGGGATATCGTCTTGATATTAATGTTAGGTAATTGTATACGGACGAGCATAAAATGTTACTTGTGTAAAAAATTCTTGATATTATATTTTAAAAGAATATTTCATGAGATCGAAATTTCTTTTTTAAAACAAATGATCCATTATAACTTTTTGAATGTGAGTTTTACAATTGTTGCAAACCATGACCAAAATGTACGATCCTCTCCAATTCTGATCGGTAGGAGAGAGCTATATATGGGGACTTCGGACAGTGGTTGAGACGATGAAGTTTCAACTGCATGCTTAAGTTAGAACCTTTTGTTATTTCACGGCTTATATTTGTTGTTGATTTTTTTCTTAACGACTGCAATAAACCCCCTTTCCTTGACTACCCCAAATGGGTTTGTATATTGACCAATATTGGCGCTTAAGAAAAACTTGCCTAAAATTTTGCATTGGCGACCAAATTTTTTTCATAAGGTGCCAGCTGGCGCCTAAATTTTAGAGGTCACTTAGAAGCCTGCTATGGTAGAGAGCCTTCACAAAAAATAATTTTCATCTTTTCTGACTCTGTGGTTCTTGAGAACCTGATTTATTGATTGATTGTATTTTGTTTAACATTTCATTTGCAAATTTTTCACTCATACAGACACATCACCGTATGCCGCTGAAGGGCTTCAAAATTAGACCTATGCTCGGCACTGAGGCTCATTGAGCAGTGAAGGTTCTTTATCGTGCCAACGCCTACAACTAGTGACACAGGACCTCAGTTTTTAAGGTCTCGTCCGAAAGACCCGTGACTTCCACTTGGCGAACAGTCACTACCTATGTTTACGTATTAGTTTTGACGCGGTGAGGCGAATGAAAATCGAACCCGGGCTTCCCGATCAAGAAACCAGCGTCTTCTTAAAAAAGAGCTATTTATTACTTTCAGTGTACCTAAAAACAAAAGTATATTTGAACGTTTAAAGTTTTTCTAGTTTAAGCGCCATTTGTTAGAGATATAACTAGAGACATAATTAAGTGTATCGTTAGAGAATAACTCAATTTTGACAGTGCTCCTTTACCCATTTCGCAGTTTCGCAGTTTTAAATTTCAAATAATTTGGATATTTATCATGATAAAGTTGAATGTTTTAATTCAAATTACTTGGATTTATTTTTGAGATATGTCTACCAAATTTGATTATAATATGACTTTTAAATAAAAATGTTATGAGAAAAGTCTACGAACTTTTTGAATGACCCTCGTATATTTAAATGTCTTTCAGGTCTCTTTTCATTCGCAAATGTATGGTGGCATATTTATGCTATCCACATAATTTTTTGTCAACATAAGATATCGCGTCAAAACAAGATAAATTGCTGATTTTGTTGAGATACACCAACTTCTATCTCGTCTACTCAAGATAATCTATCACATTTTGTTGTGATAGCTATCTCGACATAACGAGATAATTTATCATGTATCATGACCAAAATTGTTGCGTTGACAAGTGCTGCCTCTTCATAATCATGATAATTGCAGTCACGATAACTGTATATGTACATGTACATATACTTACTAGTATATAGATAAATAACGTGTTACGGGTGCCTCAGTCATTTTCCAATGATATCTTGACTTGACGCGATATCTTATGTTGAAAAAATTTATTTGGATGGCATAAATATGCCACCATACAAATGTAACAACGGTTTCCTTCAAAATGCTATAATTTTATTTCTAATGTTTGAATTCGTTAATGTATGAACGTTTGCAGTATCCTTCCATTCAATTTGGCGTGGCCCTTCAATTGAAGAAATTTAAATGCCCTTAACCCAGGATACGTCGTGCTAAATTTGGTTGAAATTGTCCCGAGAAAGAAGTTAAAAATGTGCAAAGTTAATAGTCAGACGTCAGACCAACTCAGTAAAGCTCATTTGAGCCTAATGCTTTGGTGATCTTATAAAAGGTCCAGTATTTACATGTCAGGATAAAAGGCAATTTAATATTTTTTTTTTTCATTGGACAATGAAAGTCTTTTGCCAAACTTCAGACATCAACCTTAAATAAATGAAAAATTCTGAACTAACATCTGTAATCTTAATGGATGCCTCCGTAAATCCATTAGAAGGTTTTGGGATCAATGCTTTTAGCATATTGATATATTTAAGTAAGCTGTTTTTACACAAAATATCCTTCTTAAGGTTATGGTAAAGAAGAAATATTTAACTGCTAATTAATGCAAATTTAATACTACCATTAAATTTAAGGAGACATGAAAAGTAAAAAGATTTTTAAATCACTAAAATACTGATTAACATATTCAACAGAGTAACAAACATCTTAAAATTTTTCACAGCAGCTTAAAGGAGCTTGATAATACAAAAAATATGCAAACTTATAATGACTGAACAGAACAAAAACTCTTTGTTATGAGATGGCACCCGATCCCACCTCTAAATTTTGAGGTCCGTGTTTGCTCTGCTCCAAATTTTTATCGTTTCATTGGACTTTCGAGATTGAATACTGTTCGTTATCTTCATATTTCATGAATATATTGTGTCTTCTCGAGACCGCTTCTGCAGTTCCTGTAAAAATAATTGATACTTCTCTAAGGAATCATTCAGAACTCCTGATCAAGAATACGTCAGACACGGAGAGCAGAAAGATGTTCTTTATGAAATATGATTAAATATTCCAGAGATTAATGATAAAAAGCAGATCAAGGACCATGGATAATGATCGAATTATAAATAAAACAGTAAACATTAGCAATTCAAACATCACTTTTGAAGAAACTGTGTCAGAAAGCATTCTACCCCCAAGTCTTCAATATGCGTTTGGAGGTTTTGGAAACATCATGGCCATATTTTTTCTCTGTCGATCTGCCGGGGAACATAAATGGAAACCTTTCTACAGATTTGTCTGCGGTTTAGCTATAAGCGATTTTTGTGTAATAGCCTTAGTTTATCCAGCGGTAATGGTGCGCTATATCTCAGGATTTACTTTTGAATTTCCCAGACAACTTTGTGAATACTGTTCATTTTGGTCCTCTTTCTCCTTCATGTCTTCAGCCCTGATTGTAAGTGCCATGTCTTTTGATCGTTTTCTGGCCGTTCGTTTTCCAATATGGTACAGGAACACACAGAAAAGAAGAGCTAACATAATGCTTCTGGTGATTTGGGCATTTACAGCCACCGTATCTTCTCTTAATCTTATAGGCATTGGATCAGTCAAAAACTTTTATCCAGGATCGTGGTGCTTTATAGACTTTGCAAATAAGGGACTGTTAGAAAGGGTGAACACTTACATATATTCCATCACTGGCATAATTATTTTATTAATAACAGTTTTTCTAAACGTAGCTGTTGCTTATTCCGTTTGCCGAAAACCAGTTTTAACGACTATCGACAACAAAAGAAAAAGAAATGACATTTACATTATTGTTTTCCTGTTTACTGTAGTAACTCTTTTTTCCATTTGCTGGGTTCCTTTGATGGTGAGTAATCCTTTTATTTAAGATAATTAAAAAAAATACACGGCTTATCTTTTAATTGCAGGATGCTAAACGGAAACATATTAAAATCAATGAATCGTCCAATGATTAGAAAACAACTCATAATTATTTAATATATATAAGGCATTTTCTTGGAGTCGTCTTTGTCACTCCGGTGCACTGTCTTTCTTTCTCTACTGATTGTTTTTCAGCCATGCGCATTCTCTAAGCTTTTGAACATTAAAGTACAGATGATTTAAAAAAAATGGATGACCGGATTTGTATAAATGTTTTGGTGTACTTTGGTTGTAAATGATGTAAATAGCAAATTTAAAAAAATATTAAGAAATTGTAAACTTTTATGATGTATAAAGTTCTACTTTTTTTCGGTCTCCCTTATAAATCTATGCAAATTTAATCACTTTATAGGACATTATTATGAAGATGAATGAAAAATTAAAAGTTATGCGGCTAAACGTATTAATTTTACTTTTATAAACATGCCCAATTGTTATTTTAATGATTTCTGAAGAAAGTTTGTATGTATCATCTGTCCTTAAGCATAATCTTATGAACTAATTTTAAAAGGGTTATTACACTAATTCAGTCCATTTCATTTAGTAGAATACTAAAATCAAGAATTCCCTTCACGATTTGGGTTTCACGCTCAATAAATTAATTTTTTTTAAATTTAATTCTACAGGAACTTGAATACTAGCTTTTTACACGTAGGCAATATTCTGGTATTGCCACAAAGTAACAATCCCTTATTTCCTTTTATCATAAAATGTTCCGTTTTTTCGCATATGAAACCTTTAATTTATTTTGTCCTTGTAGCGAGCGTGAAACTCGAATCTTGAAAGGAATTCAGTGAGCTCAGTTCTTTCAATATTATGAACGATGAAATATGGACATTACACTGTCTATAATCAGCTGAGACCGCTGAAAATAATTGAATATTTCAGTGTATTCCACAATCTGTAAACAGACCTACGCCTAGAGACACTCAATGTCCTCAGTTTACCCCCGATGAAGTTGGATATCTTTTACGTTAACAGTATTCGTATACGAATTTGCTATTTTCTAAAAAGAATCAGATTATTTTAATGTATTTTGTAGCAAAACCTGGGTTCAAATTCATGCTTTATGAACTGGAAAATGTTACTATTTTACGGTTTTCTGTCTGTGAATGCTAGAATATAAACATAAAAAACACAACGGATCCAGGGGAAGACATCTAAGTTGTGCATTTTTTATTGCCACATGCTTGTGCTTCTTTGGGACTATCATGCTATGTCATAATGCACTTTGAAAAATTACGCACTTTCAAACAAATATAATTAACCATCAAACATGTATTACAGTTTAGAATTTTGATCTAGACAGATAGACAGAGGGACGGACAACGAACAACGGCGTATCAAAAATATGACTGATACAATAATACGAATTCGTTTAGCATATTGAGACAATACTATTCACATTCACTGAACATTTAAGAAAACCGTTGTTGTTTATCAGCTACTAAACACCGCTAAGTATATCAACCTTGCAGATTTCCTGACCTTCAATGAAACGTACAATGATTATACCTATCAATAATACAGTATTTAATTTACTTAATAATACTTTAGATTGATTGATTGATTGTATGTTGTTTAACGTCCCATTGGAGAATTTTTCACTCATATAGAGAAGTCACAATATACCGGTGAAGGGCTTCAAATTTTGACCTTTTATCTGCACTCAGGGCCATTGAGCAGTGAGGGATCTTTATCGTACCAACGCCTGCCGTGACACGGGGCCTCGGTTTTTAAGGTTTCATCCGAAGGACCCGCAACTTTCACTTCAAAGTGCCGAGCAAATGGCGAAGGAATAGTTCCTGCCAATATTTTATCGACTTAGGTCAGTCTCGGCCGAGATTCGAACTCACGACCTCCCGATCACGAATAATACTTTAGCTGATATTTTGTACATATATAAATATAAACAAAAACTTACTTTGGTTGTTAATACATGTGTAGGATAATTAACGTTGCAAATATTGCAGAAAATAATTACATAACCCACTTACGCGGGCTATGCATATTTCTGCAACAGCTGCAACATTAATTTCGCTTTTAACGACCAAAGAAAGCATTTTATTGTTTAAATAAAACGGTAAAGGTTCAATTGTTGATATCATTGTCTTCTGTCACAGGTTCGTATGTTAATGAATGCCAGTGCAAAGTTCCCTAAGAATGGACCAGAGGAACTTATGGCTGTGCGACTGACCATCAGTAACTCCATTGTTGACCCATGGATCTACATCATTCTACGCAAAGAAAATCTGGTCAAAGTGGTGCATTTGATTCGTAGATTCAACAACCATAAACAAAGGCAAACACATATGTTCACAGTAGAACCATGTGCTGATGGAGATAAAACGAACACAATCGAACACACCCCATCTTTGAGCATTGCAAACTGTACAACACAGTCATAAATCCATATTATGTACTTCTACTAACTTGATTATATCATTTTTTTTTATTAAGAGCGATAAATATATGCACTTTTGAAGTGTGATTTAAGTTGATAACGAGTGTGTTTGCTAAAGGTAAGTATTTCGGGAAAATTCCATTAATTTCAAATGATCTTCATATGCATAACCCCATCATGTTGGCAAAAAGTTTATGTATTACGCAAGTGAATTAAAGCTAAGTATTGACAGTAAGTTTTTCCTATCTCTGTATAATACGTATAGTCCTTTGGCATTTTAATTAGTTTATTTGCACAGAAATGCCTGTACCTACCCTCAATTCACTAGGGTATCGTGGGTAATAAGAATGTATAAGAAAAGAAATCAAAACTTTCTCTGAGTAATAAAAATACATCTTATACGTTTTTATTAGCTCATTTGCATAGAGACGCCTATACCTAGCCTTAATTAACATATATTAATCATAGAACGATCTCGAATCATAGTGCTGAACAACCTCGCTATTTCCTGTTCTAAGATACGAGTATATTAAAACCGAATTTACTAAATGCATGTTTACGATGGTCTTACATTTTAACTTTGTCTGGGCATTATATACTAATCAAGCTAGAGTTGACAAGGTCGTCGAACAATTTTGATTTTTGGTTTTAATTCTTCTTTCTTCTTTTTCACATGAATTATATTTTGTTACAGTGTATCATTAGAAGAGCTTATCTTTGAACTTTGGCGAGGATGAAAAATCAATATTTGTATGCAAAGTATTTTTTTTGTGTGTTTGTATGTTGTTGAACATCCCTCTCGAGAATTTTTCACTCATATGGAGACGCCACCACTTGCCGGTGGAGAGCTGCAAATTTTGTCCTTTACTCGGCACTTACGGCCATTGAGCAGTGAGGGATCTTTTTCGTGCCAGCACCTACTGCGACACGGGACCTCGGTTTATACGGTCTCATCCGAAGGACCGGTCTCCACGTCCCACAGTGGGATTCGAATCCGCGACGTAAGGATCATCTCCTTACTTCGCGACTCTAGAGCAGACGCTCTAACCACTGCGCCACGCGGGCCACCAAAGTATTTTTTCTTCTCTCGGTATAAATGCAAAGTGATAGACAACATTACTTCAAGCAAAATATCTCATACCACTTGAACGAATAAGATTAGGTTAAGATATATTATACTTTCATGTAAATTAGTTGAATCTGATTCGTCGAGAAACATTTGTTTATAAACACTATTACCCGCTGAATATTGAAGCCACGCCCTCCAGCATAGCAACAGTCAACATTGCTTGACGACGGGTGTTATTCCAAAAAATATTGACTGCGCAGAATTTATGTGCGCAAGATTCACTGTAATATGTATTTGTACAAAACATTCAGTATAATATAATAAATACTGCATGTAGTTGAGTGTAACATTGAAAATTTTCACCCCTAGAAAACCATTGTCAACCTCTGCTGCGCCTCGGTTGACAATGGTTTCTTGGGGTGAAAATTTTCAATGTTACACTCAACTACATGCAGTATTTATATAAAATCTCATGAAATCCATTTGTGTTTTGGTGACTGCAGGGAGACAATATTTTACCCCCTTCCCCTGTTTCTCACAAATAAAATATGATTGTATGTACAAATTACAATCTTAGTATAAGGAATTCGGCGACTCTGCATTCCGTTACCTGTAATAAACTCCACCCACTCTAGAGCATTGTTCCGTGTTTCTATCCTGAGAGTTTCTCATCAGGTGAAGTGCATTTTCTACACTTTCATTTTCTCTGAAGAGTCCTGATTCAAACACGAATAAAACATTTGGGGTCAAATAAAAGAGACTGGATGTTACCTACAACATGCCATTAATTTATTTATATTAATAAAGAGAAACGTGGAAAGCACTATAGCATGAACGTTGCGCAATTTCAAAAAGGGTCCGTGAAAACTTCGTTTTTAAAATGCCTAAATGAATAAAGGCTATTATTCGGTCAAAAAAGAAAAGCAGCTAAGCACTTCAAAGTAAATTATCAATTAGAAATTTCAAAACTTAAATAAAATGGCAATTTATCATTGCTTTTGTTTTTACCTTTGTTTAGTAGCAATACATTTATTTTCAAAATATGCATTTAATAAGTTTACAAAAGCATGTTAGTTTTAAAAGTTTTTTTCAGCTGTAAATAGTCCTTTTCCTTTTAATCAATTTTTCAGAATTGTTTTAAAAACATAAATTCAAATACAAAATATTGAACTACGTATTTTATAAAATGTAAATTGAAATGATTAGTGGATCAAAAATGTGATTTTTTTAATCTCTATTGATCAGAGACCAGAAGAAGTTATGCGATAGTAAGGCGTCTGTCGTCCGTCTAGCTGTCAGTTCGTCCGTCTGTCTTTCTTTGTGTCTGTAGATAATTTTTCAAATTACTGCTCCTCTTCCAGTTTTGATCCAATTCTAATGAAATTTTCTACACAAGTAGACTTAACAAAGATTCATATTTCTATAAACGAGTTTTTGATTTTGATGAATGATGATGGCATGGTTACTAAAAATAAAATATTCTGTGAAATTCTTTTTCAATGCTTCAATCCTTCTTCAGTTTTGGTCCTATTTCAAAATAACTTGGTACAAAAGTCATCTTAGCTAAGATACATTATTCTGATTAGTTTAGTTTTGTTTACTATGGACACGGGATGACATGGTTTTTAAAAATAAATTAAAAATAAAGCTTCCTGTGATATTCCTTTAAAATGCCATTTTCCCCAAAGTTTTGGTTTCAAAGGAACTTGGAACACAAATAGACTACACTAAGAGTAAGATACAAAGTTTTGTGTATTGATTTTTGATTTTGATGAACGGTGTGGTTACTAAAATAGAAACTTCCACAAACTTCTTTCAAAATGCTTCTTTACCTACATTTTTGGTCCGATTTCAATAAAGCTTATTATACAAGTAGACTAAGATACAAATTCTTTTTATAGGTTTTTGCAATAAACGGTATTGAAATGGTTACTTAAAATAGAAATTTATGAAAAATTCTTTTGAAAAGCAACTTCTACTACAGTTTTAGTCTAATTGCAATCAAACTAGCCACAAAAGGTGACTAAAGAATCATTATTTAAATAGTTGTAGCCTAAGTTTTATGTCCAAGCAGTTCTTTTCTCTACCTTTGTTACAAGTATAAACCAATAGAGTAACAGTCTCGTCAGAGATTTCTAATTGTGTATGTTACAATCCAAGTAATTTGTTATCTCTTGTTATACAGAATTACACAACATACTGCATATTGTCAAGTACACTGAGCGCTCTAATTTGCTATAGAGATAGAAATGAAATTAAAAGATCACTGTCAAAATATCAAAAAAGCAATCCATAAAACATGAACCATTCGATATATTTTAATTACATACACTGGTCATTTAACACCGTCCGTCTGATGTATGAAGAAATTATTGCAACAACATATATGCTAATATCAATTTTGATGAAAAGGAAAGAAAATCATACTCTTTATGTATGTAAATGAAATGTACTGTAATGTGTATTTTAAACAAATACAAATCAATTTTGACTTTCTCTGTATAATAGGTATAGTCCTTCGGCATTTTAATTAGTTCATTTGCACAGAAATGCCTATAACTACCCTCAATTCACTTGGGTATCCTGGGTACTAAGAATTTATTTTAGGAATGACTCTAATTCTTGGCCAAATTATTCGAGTATAACCTGGTTTGGGTCAGTTTACGCTTTATAATCCGCGAAGCGGATTATAAAACAGCGTAAACTGACCCAAACCAGGTTATACTCGAATAATTTGGCCAAGAATTAGAGTCATTCCTTATAATTTAATTTTAAAATCATCAAACAACTGTGGCTGTAAAATTTCGTTGCTTTTTATTAGTTCAAATTTGCCGCTCAATAATACAACCGTAGTAACGGAAGTGATGGGAAGCGAGGGGAGGTAAAAACTGATACATAGTCCTAGCAGCCATGTTGTTTGATTACATGTGGTAAGATCCGAGTTACTGTTCGAAGTAAAAGGTACATTTATTAAATCTGGAATTTTCCATGAATCCCGAGGACTAGAAATGAGATGATTGCATGGATACAGACGATTCAGCTGGTTGTCAGGGGGGTGTGTCCCCATACCAAACCAGGTTATACAGAAGTAGTTTGTGTTCCTTTTTGGATATTACCCAATCAGAGGCTAGAATACAAACAAAATTAAATTATATGAAAATAAATCAAAACTTTCTCTGAATAATAAAAATACATCTTACACGTTTTTAATAAGCTTATTTGCATAGAGATGCCTATACTTAGCCTTAACTAATATATATTTATCATAGAAAGATCTCGAATCATAGTGCTGAACAATCCCGCTATTTCCTGTTTTAAGATACCGAATTTACTACATGTATGTTAACGATGGTTTTACATTGTAACCCTGTCTAGGCATTATATACTAATCAAGCTAGTGTTGACAAAAAATTGTGATTTTTGATTTTAATTCATCTTTCTTCTTTTTCACACGAATTATATTTTGTTACAGTGTATTATCATATTAACTAACTTTGAACTTTGGCTAGGATGAAAAATAAATATTTGTATGCAAAGTATTTTTTTCTCTCGGTATAAATGCAAAATTAGGATGAAAAATAAATATTTGTATGCAAAGTATTTTTTTCTCTCGGTATAAATGCAAAATGACAGACAACATTACCTGAAGCAAAATATCTCATGCCACTTGTACGAGTAAGAAAACTAGATTAAGATATATCTCACGAGATCCACTTGTGCTTTGGTGACTGCAGGGAGAAAACATTTTATCCCCCTTCCCCAGTTTCCCACAAATAAAATATGTATGTACAAATTACAATCCTATTCTAATTGTGTATGTTACAATCCAAACTATTTGTTTTCTCTTGTTATACAGAATTACATTACATACTGCATATTGTCAAGCACAATGAGCGCTCTTTTGCTATAGGGACATGAAAATGAAAATGAAATTAAATTAGTGAAATTTAAAAATTATCGCCAAAATATCAATAAAACGATCCATAAAACATGAACCATTCGATATATTTTAATTACATACACTGGTAATTTAACACCGTCCGTCTGATGTATGAAGAAAATATTGAAACAACATATATGCTTAAATCAATTTTGATGAAAAGGAGAGAAAAGTTATACTCCTCTTTATGTATGTAACTGAATTGTACTGTAATGTGTATTTTAGACAACAACAAATTAATTCGTACACATAAAAAGTTTGAATTTTCCTTCCTTAATTCCTCAATTAAATGAATAAATTTTCATTATTGTTAATCATTGTGTTTGCTTTATTTCAATGCAACTCCAAGTTCAAAGACAAAAAATATAATGTTTTCATCTTGACAAATTACATTATTTTAGAAAATTTTAACATAAACATACATAAATACAGGATGAGGCAGTATCAATGGAGGTCCCGTGTCGCAGAAGGTGGCGCGAAAAAGATCCCCTACTGCTCAATAGCCCTGAATGCCGAGCATAGGTCTAAATTTGCAGCTTTCCACCGGCAAGTGGTGGCGTCTCCATACGAGTGAAAAATTCTCGAGATGGACTTTAATCAACAATAGAACAAGCGAAAAAGCGTTTTATTCAAGTTTAGTAAGAGACAAGATATTCATATATATCTATAACACTCCAGACTGTAACAGGCATAAGTAAACATGTTTGCCATAAACAAAATACAAATGTTCACTAGAGAAATATTTACGAAATACAGAAAAAAAAAATGTTTTAAGGTTTTGTCAAAGGTCAAGATGTCCAAAAATTTATTTTTACTATAGCTCCAAGACTATGTGAGGTATAAAGTTAAAACTTTTACAGTTTATAAATATGTCATTGATTAACAGATAGAAAGCATCACTTGTAAACAAATGTTTAAAAAAAATATATTCTTTGAGAAAAAGAAATTCAAAAAATTTGCATATTTTAAAAAAAATGCACCGGCTTAATTCTGTACTTTTAGTGAAAACCATCATTGCAGAAATAATATATGTTTATCAATGAAGGGCAAGCTGGACATGAATGGTCTCTGAAAGGCTGTTATTGAAAGCATGACATGTATAAAGACAAGACCCCAATAAAATCCACCATTTGCAATGTACTTTCGGTTTCAAACCTTGACATTTGGACAAAATAAACAGGGAAAACAACTTTCCAGAGGCTATCGAAGTCCAACTTGCCCTTCATTGATAAACATATATTGTTTCTGCAATGATGGCCTTAACTAAAAGTACGGAATTAATAAGGAGTATTTTTTAAAAATTTATGCATTTTTTTTAAAGAATTTTTCTCGATAAATATATATTTTTAAGTATTTGCATTTTCTGTACTTAGGCGAGATGTATGCACTTTCGTTAACAATTGCAAATTCGTCCACATTTTATCAAGAACAAAACCTGGAGCAGCACCGCTACGTCATTAGAATGTCTCGTCAGCCGTAGAACGATCGAAAAGGTTAACTCTTCTTTCTCATGTCATCACATAATCAAACTCTCTCGAACAAAATAAAATAAAATGTGTGTTGTTACTACCCCGATGCAAAATTACATTAAGTTTCATATACAGGTAGACTCAGCATCATGCAGTACTGATTTTTGGGTCAACTTTATTTAGTCTGTAGTAATTAAAGGTTGACAGAAGTCTTTGTTTTACTCCGGTTGAATTATTCGTAAGAAAAAAATATAGCAAAGAAACAACATACCCTTACACATTCGCATTGTTTATGTTTTTGCAGGTCGTTTACTTGGACAAGAATTCTCGGTACACACAGTTTTAGATATGCTCGCTGCGCCGTGACGTCAAAATCAATTTTGTTGTCGTAATCGGATTTCTATAACTTCTTAATTTCTTAATTTTTCTATGATCTCCATATTTCTGATCAAAATTTAAACCGATTTGCACAAAATGAAATTATATAAAAAAAAAATGAAAATTATATACGAAATGTGAATTATTTTTATCCTTACTATGGATCAACCGGGAGTTCGAACGTAGGTGTTATATATCTGATTTCCCAACTGCGCAGGATACCCCTACCACTGACATATTAATATAATATTGAAAAGAAAAAATAAAATATTGTAAAATATTTCTTGCTTTTATTATTTCTAAGTGCTTCTCAAGGTTGTTTGCATTTTCACCAAAAAGGCGTTCATTAGAAAGAAGAATAAAAACAATCTCCCAACATTTCCCGAGCAGTCCCCATTATTTTGCCATTAAACATTACTTCTATATACATCAAATGCTTTTGACCGGATAAGTTGATGTTACATGTAAAATTTGCTGTTAGTGTGCACGATTTGTACAGAAGTAATCATAATGAAATTCTGAGTTGTTTATTTCAAAAAAACATAAACACGTAACATTCTGAAAAGATAGATATAAAAAATAATTCTTTATTTTGTAAGACGTAGGAGTTAAATTGGATTACTTACAAATAGCATGCACAGAGCAGAAAAGTTATAATTCCACTATCATTTGCATATAGTGTTTTTGACTTCTTATTAGATACACGAGCATGCTCAGAGTTCGACCAATTTTTTTTAACAGAAACAGAGGTAGGCTACTGAAAAATAAGTTGACATAAGAGGGATTCAACTACCGCGTTTAAAGTCAGCATTTCGTATATTCTATGTCGCTATAATGACATATGGTTATTATTATATACAATGCAACCTATCAGTGGGTCGGATTCTGACTGACATATTTCATGCCAATTTTTAGGCCTTTGATTTATTCAAATTTTAGCTACGGATTATTCCGTCAACTTGATCAACACATAGGCTCACAGCGGTTGTGACCGGTCGACAGGGGATCCTTACTCCCTTAGGCACTTCTGAAGTTTCATCTTTGCTAACCCATTGATTCTTGAGACGATGTTTCCTGACATTCATCCTATTTATTTCGTTAAACTTACGCAATTAAGCGGTAATCATATTTTAAGTTTCTCCGCTACAGTAAATGCTCACAAATATACATAAACTCTTTGCTTTAAATATGCTAATTTATTAGAAAAATAACTTAAAATTTTGAGTGCACTAATATATGAACATTTGCAGTATTTCCCCTTTCAACTGAGCTTAGGCCTTTGTTTAAGCAAATCTTAATCCCCTTAACCTAAGGATACTTCCTACTAAGTTTGTTTGAAATTGGAGACGCCAAAAAGTTGAAATTGTAAAGAGTTTCTAGAACCCATAAAGCTCTTTTGAGCCTATGGCTCTGGTGAGCGTATTTACAGGTTACGATAAAAAGGCCATGTCATAATCGTTATTTTTTTCAGAGGGCGATGCTTGAAGACGCCATCGAAGAAAGCCATTAGCCAAACCCTAGACATCAACTTAAAATGAAAGAAAGACTCTGATTCTGTAAACTTAATGGATGTCTCCGTATATACAGTTGGATGTTTTAGGATCAATGGACATCTAATGCTTTAAGTACATAAATCAGCTGATTTTAAGCAAAAAATCCTTAAGTTATGTTAAAAAAATTGCCTGCTAAATAATGTAAATGTATTATTATCATTAAAGTTAAAGAGACATGAAAAGTAAGAAGATGTTTAAATCCGACATTAATGACATTGTTATTGATTAACCTTTTCAAAAGAATTTTTTAAAGAAATTTCATCATTACAAAATACAAGGCGGCTGGATAAATAAAAAAGGATACAAACTTACCAGGAATGAACAAAAGCTCTTTGCTTTGTCACGAAATGAATATATTCTTTCTTCTCGAGACCGTCTCTGCAGGTCTTCTAAAAATAACTACACTTCTCTAAAAGCATTCCAATCTCCTAATTCAATATTGTAAACTAGAGTCATGAATATGACAGGCACGGAGAGAATGAAAATATTCTTCATGAATTATGTTTAAATAATCGAAAGATAAATAAAAGACATCAGACCAAGGGCCATGGATAGTGATCGAATTATAAATAAAAGGGTCAACGTTAACAATTCAAACACTACTGCTGAAGAAACTGAGTCAGAAAGCATTCTACCTCCCAGTCTTCAATATGCTTTCGGATTTTTTGGAAACGTCATGGCCATATTTTTTCTCTGTCGATCTGCCGGGGAACATAAATGGAAACCTTTCTACAGATTAGTTTGCGGTTTAGCTATAACGGACTTTTGTGGGATTGCCTTAGTTTACCCTGCGATTATGGCGCGCTATATATCTGGGTTTACTTTTGAATTTCCTAAACAGCTGTGTGAGTACTGTTCATTTTGGTTCTGCTTTTCTTTCATGTCTTCAGCACTGATTGTCAGTGCCATGTCCTTTGATCGTTTTCTGGCCGTTCGTTTTCCAATATGGTACAGGAACTCTCAGGAAACGAGAGCTAACACAATGCTTCTGGTGATTTGGGCATTTACAGCCACTGTATCTTCCCTTAATCTTATAGGCATTGGATCAGTCAAAAACTTTTATCCAGGATCGTGGTGCTTTATAGACTTTGCAAATAAGGGATTGTTAGAAAGGGTGAACACTTACATATATTCCATCATTGGCTTTATCATTCTATTAATAACAGTTATTCTAAACGTAGCTGTTGCTCATTCCGTTTGCCGAAAACCAGTTTCAACAACTGTCGACAACAAAAGAAAAAGAAATGACATTTACATCATTATATTCCTGTTTTCTGTAGTGACTCTTTTCTCCATTTGCTGGGTTCCATTAATGGTGAGTAATGCTTTTATTTTACGTAAGTAAAAAGAATAGCTTATCCTTACCCAGGATGTTAAAGTAAAACATGTATATTGAAAGAGTTGAATAGTTCAGTGATTAGGAAACAACTGTTACCCATTTATCATTTTAAGTATTTTCTTTAAGTCTTCCAACTAATCTGGCGCACTTTCACTCTTTTCTCTCTGGCGCACTTTCATTTCTTCTACCCTTTCTCGTACATTTTCATTCTTTACTGTCTGGTGCATTTAAATTTTTTACTGTCAGGAGTACTTTCAATCTTTACTGTCTGGTGCATCTTCCTTCTTTACTCATTCTTTACTGTCAGGAGAACGTTCTTTCTTTACTGTAAGGAGCACTTTCAATCTTTACTGTCTGGTGCACCTTCCTTCTTTACTCATTTTTTTACTGTCAGGAGAACGTTCTTTCTTTACTGTCAGGAGCACTTTCAATCTTTACTGTCTGGTGCAGCTTCCTTCTTTACTCAATCTTTACTGTCAGGAGAACGTTCTTTCTTTACTGTCAGCACTTTCATTTTTTACTGTCTGGTGCACGTTCCTTCTTTACTGTCTGGTGCACGCTCATTCTTTACTGTCAGGAAAACTTCCTGTCTTTACTGTCAGGAGCACTTTCATTCTTTACTGTCTGGTGCACGTTCCTCCTTAACTATCTGGTTCACGTTCGTTCTCTACTGAATGTTTTTCAGCTATGCGCAATCCCTCAGATTTGTAAGAGCTAAGCCTGTTTTTTTTTTTTTTAAATCTGGTTACTTATTTTAAATTGGTCAGTAAACTTATTTAATTGAAGTTCAATTCATTCAGTAGTATGCAAAAATACTAAATTCTATTCACGATTCATGTTTCATGCTCGATACAAGAATAAAATAAAAATATATAGAGGATTCATACACGAAGAAATGAAATATTTCATGAAATTAGGAAATAAGTGATTTTTTGTGGCCAGAAAATGGCGGTCCAAGTCAAGTCATATATTTTTTGCAGAATTCAATACAAGGGACGTCTCCCTTTTCCATCAATTCTATTTGTATTATTTTTTTTTTTATACATTATTGACCTATGATGCCGATCCCTCTCAAAAATGATTAAAACTGATGCACACAAGACGATATAGCAAAGTAATACTTGACACTACCTAAAAACCTCTAAAGTATTGTTATCTGTGATCAAATGATCAGGGACTGTTTCGTAGCTTATATTTTTCATCACGCTCTATTCCTCTTCTACAAAATTTTCAACGTTATGAGCGATGAAATATTGACAAAACATTGATTACAAACAGCTAAAATAGATTACAGCCCTGCATTTTGGTGTATTTGACAATCTGAAAATAGAGGTTGGCTAAGGTACATTTGATGACTTCAATTTATTACCGATGAAGTTGAACTGTACTATCTTTTACGTAACGGTATTAAATATTTGCTATCTCTCAGAATGAATCAATGCATTTTAATATATTTTTGTAGCAAACGTTTGGCTGTTACATTCGTGCTTTTTGCGCGGAATAATGATATATTATTTTCACTCGAACTTGCAAATTGAAAAAAAAATGGACATGAAAAAAATATACTCATCAAAACCAGTTACTTTATTTTAATTCAAAACTTTATGATTTATTCCAAGTTATATGTAACTACGATGTAAGATATCAAAGAAATCTATGATAGTGAATTCAGGGGCTCAACGTTTGTACGCTCTAAAAAGGGGCTGAATAACAATTATTTACACATCATATATACTTGGATGAACTTGAAGACATTAAAACCATATCCTGGTGATAAAAGTATATTTAATTTGCTATATAAAATATTACTTACCAGCTATATTTTTCCCTTTGGTTGTTGGTGTTGGTTGTCTCTGATTCAAACATTATATACAAAAAGAATTTTTAAGGTAATAAATGTACAGCCAATCATCCATATGTAGAAAAAGGTTAGTCTGTCTGAAAACGTCGGGATATCCAGGAATTTGAAATATCGAGGTGATTTTCTTTTTCTTTTTTTTTAACAATAATACTGTGATTGTTGGCGGACTTTGAGTAACCCTGACATTCAGCATACGGGCGACAGAAACGAAAAAGTTCAAATTTTAATAAACCATATCAAAAAATTAATGGATACAATAATATAATCCTATGGGTTCGCACAGTCTTTCGATACAATGTACAGTAATAAAATGATACTGTTCATAATCATGATGATACAATGATATTGTTACAGGTTCATATGTTGATACCATATGGTATCATGTTACAGGTTCGTATGTTGATACCATATAATATCATGTTACAGGTTCGTATGTTGATACCATATGATATCATGTTACAGGTTCATATGTTGATACCATAATACAATGTTACAGGTTCGTATGTTGATATCATATGATATCGTGTTACAGGTTCGTATGTTGATATTATATGATATCATGTTACATATTATTATGTTGATACCATGACATTATGTTGCAGGTTCGTATGTTGATGAATGCCAGCGCAAGGAATCCTAAGAATGGACCAGAGGAACTTCTGGCTGTGCGACTGACCATTAATAACTCTATTGTTGACCCATGGATCTACATCATTCTACGCAGAGAAAATCTTGTCAAAATAGCAAGTTTAGTTCGCAGATTTAACAGCCGTAATCACAGACAGACAAATATTTTCACAGTAGAATCATATACTGGTGAGATTAACTCGAACACAATCGAACATAGCCCTTCATTGAACATTGCTACCTGCACAACACAATTATAAATACTTATTCCATCGAGTTCACGATATTAATTTTTTTTAATTATAAAGAAAAGGGTAATATTTGAGCTAAAACGCGAATCTTTGCTATAATTACATTATAATTTATAGCTATAAAGATACTCCATTAATTTCCAAAGACTATTTTTGATTATTTACAATAGAAACAACTCGAATCACCAGTCTAATTAAATAAATCAAACTTTCCGAACAAACAACCACGTTGTTATCCTGTTTTTAAGGTATTTTGAATTTAACTTCGTAAACAGTGTAATATCTCTGTCTATGCTCTGTATTGATCCAGCGAGAAATGGTAGAGTCGTCAAACACGGTTTTCATTAACCAAATTTCCTCTAATTTTCCCACATTCTGAAGTTGAAATGATTACCTTCTGATAGGTTGTACGCGATCCAGATTTCATTTTTCATTTTGCATTGATATGTTTCATTTTTTTTTATTGCAACTGAAGATGTTGCATTGTGTTAAATTTCAATATTTAAAATTACATGGAAGTCAATGGCCCCATGTTGCTAAAATTCCTGACGCTGCTGGGGACTGTTCTGAGATTATACCCTGGATTTTACATCTGACCCCAGGATCATGAAACATCTTAAGCTTAAGTCAATAACGCTTTATGAACGTGTTGTTATCTGTTAATTTAGAGGCTGATTCAATAATTAATAAACATTCTACAGGCGATTGAAAGTTTGACTTCAGTCTAAGTCTGAGTGTTTCATGATCCTGGGGTCTGATTCTAAAATCAATATTCTTGGCTCTGGAGAAAACTTGCAGAACGCCAAAGTTTCTCCTCGGAAGGGGATAATGTGATTGCCGGAGTAAAAAAGTGAACCGTTGACTTAAATATTAATTTTAAAACAATATTGTATACTTGATTCAAGGTAATTTGTATAATTCATATAATTTTTGTTTTGATAAATTTGTCAGAATTATTTTCAAAAATAAATTTAAAGGGCTACATGTAAACATTTAGTACTTATTTTTATGAGTTCTCAACGTAAGTTGTAATATGTAGTAGATTTATTATTTGTATTTTGTGTAAATTGCCATACTGTAATGCAGAGTTACATAATTTTCTGCATATTATCAATTACATTGAGCGCTTTGTTGCTTTAGAGACATTAATGAGTCAGGAATAACAAAAAAAAAGTAGTCCAATGGCCATTAACAATATAAAATTTTCTATTTATATACAAAAACAGAGAATAAATTGGAAATTTTACACCCTTTGACTAATGTGTTACAAAATTATTGTAGAAAAATATTTTCCAAATTAATTTTTATGAAAAAGACAGGAAATCCTTTAGGAAGAATTCACACATGTCTTCCTGTATGTAATCAAAAGTAACTGTTACAGTATTGTTTAGTTTGGACAACAAACGAAAAGTATGTCGAGCTTTCCATCCTCAAAATAAATAAATAAATCATGTTTATCATTTGTTATTGCGATTACTTTATTTGAATACAATACCAAAGCCAAAGACAAACAAACATGCTTTGAACTTCACAAATTACGTTACATTATAAAGAACACTTAAACATGAACATTTATACACAATTGTTTTAAAAGGCGACATCCTTCCGCTTCCATACAGAAATATCATGTTTAAGAATAAGTTAACATTTCTTATGTTTTAAAAATAAGTAAACATATTTTTTGTATTTATCATAGTGGCTAAAGTGTTTACACCAATATATGAATAGCTAGTCACAAGACGATTTAATTATTCACAAAAAATATAGGGAACGTTGAAAGCTTTATTGAAAATCCTCAATGGAGACATCTCAGCTAAAATTTTGAGGTGTCAGATTTAATTCACAGTATCCAATCATGTTGTTCTAAAGAAAAAAAAAACACATGTAAAAAAAATCCCTGCTTCTGTATTTTCGGAACACGTGTCCTGGTTATTCAAGTGTTTTGAAAAGTCAAGTGTATCATTGCATTTAACTGTTTACACAGATCAGTAGAATTAAAAAAAAAAGTTTTTCAATCAGTTATGAAAATTTCAACAGTACATGTATTAACAACATGCTTCTTATTCATCACTCAGTCCAATATAATTTCAGAATCCTCAAATGTTTTGATTTATTTTGCATGTTAGATTCCATCTTGGATGATGAATAAAGGTATATTTATTTATCAGTATAACATGCCACAACTACCAATACAAGTAGAAGGGTTGAGAAGGTTTGAGTATGAATTGGTGTGGAACCTCCAGTGCCGTCTGCAATTAAAACATCAAATTTTATCACTTTAGGAATTTTACCTTTCATGTTGCTTATGGAAATAAATGAAAGCCTTCATTTAATTTAGACATATCACGTATACAAAAATAAATAAATTGCTGAATGTCATGGATGGAAATACGAGCATGTACTAAATGTCGCGGCACATATTGCCAATGGTATCATTGGGATTAGTGATTATTTTTAAACAAGAAACACACGTCGGAGAGGGATATTTATAGATGAAGAGAATTAATTAAAAGCAAAATATTACCTTGTGTTGTCACTTGCAAACTTTGAGTTGTCATTCTACTCGAAGGGTCTGCAAAAGACAATTAATGAAACTTGATATTAGTTCGTTCACTCTTTAAACACTTCGGAATCAATATGTTTCTGCTTACTAAACTTTTAGAACGTATATCTATCCATTGATTAGAGCGCTCTCTCTCTCTCTCTCTTTCTCTCTCCCTCATTAGTTTGCTTTTAATATCCATTTTTCCATATTAAAATAGTATAATTCTTTAAGTTTTCAAATTCATAGAAAAATTCAGATAAGTCAGTTTAGTCGAAATATGAAATCTAAGAATATCTAAGTTTCATGTTATGTTTAATCTTGCTGAATATCAAAATGCATCTAGACATCACTTTACTGAAATTTGTGCGTGTGCGGAAAATTCGTTGTGCTAAAACAACAAATGTTATTTCTATTCTCATGATTTCTTAACTTACTAATAATGGTTATATTCTGGCTGATAGTTAGTTTGTGTCCCTCTGTCTTGTGTGATATTTTGCAAGAGTATGTGCCACTGTCAGCAACGCTGAGGTCTACAAAAGTACAAAAATAAGCAAATACATGTACATGTATATACTTCTCTAGAATATTTCCAGATCCTTTTTCTTCTCACTACTGTAGCAGAGTACACATATATTTACGCAATTGTTCATATTCTTTTTAATAGATATAACATGTACAAGTAATTATTGATTATTAACTGTTTAAAATAAAATCATCCCAGTTCCAGGTTAGAGGATTTTGAAAATAAATTCAGATTTCTTTCTAAGAAAACAAGTTAAAAATTTTCCCACCTGGAAGCATGAAATAATAAGTAGTCCTGTTCTGTACTGTAGCTTCGGAACAACTCTGATTTCTTCCCACCGGTACAACTTGACTGTTGTGACAATAAGTAATATTGCCAAAACTTAAATAAACATCCAGATCTGACAGACTGTGATTACCAGATGCTTCAACATAGCATGATGTATTATAGGTGTCACCTGGTGCGTACGCCCCGTGAAAATCCAATGTAAAGGAGTAAGCCAACTTACATAAAACATCTGGAAACATAATACACAGTTGATATCAAATAGAGCCTTTTGATAAGATCAATCCCTAGATATATCAACCTCATAGAAAGCAGATCACCCGAGCAGAGAGTGCGAGTAATGTTTTTCTCCCTGAGTTTGATATATCGAAGTATTTTACCGAATCAATAGGCTATATCTGTGTTATCATATTGGATTATTTCCCAAAAACTTATTAAATATCTATGTTACCATTATAGAGCAATTTCACATTCTAGGCTTTGTTGAATTTCCATTATGAAATTACATGTACAGTAGTTACATATACACAAAGAAGTTGAAGTATGATTTGTTAATGAAAACATGAGTGATATCAATTAACTATCGTTATAAAGTCTTCATTATTGTCACAGTTTTTTAGTCCCCTACCGGTGAAACCGGAGGGGACTATAGGTTTCCTCTGAGTCTGTCCGTCCGTCCGTCTGTCTGTCTGTCCCTCTGTCTGTCTGTCCCACTTGGTTTTCCGCTTTTTTTCCCCTAAACGCTTGCAGATATTGAGCTGATTTTTGGTATGTGAGTGTATCTGGATGACATACAGATCAAGTTTGTATTTCGTTCCGCTTCATTTAAATTTTTCAGGGTTTTTCGCAATTTTCTTCTAAACGCTTGCAGATATTGAGCTGATTTTTGGTATCTGACTTTACCTTGATGAATTATAGATCAAGTTTGCATTTCGTTCCGCTTCATTGATTTTTGACGCAATTATGACATTTTCAATTCTAAACGGGAACCAGATTGCACTTGCCGGTAGGGGACTAGCATTGCTAAAGCAATACTCTCAGAATGCTTGTTAAGGATTATTATCCCTTTAGCAACATCTGATGGTTATTCACTTTAATGCCTGATCGTGATATCTCCTTTGAGCCAATCAAAGAGCTGCAATACTATTATGGATTTAGTGTATGCTGATATATGTGAATATTTACATTTCCAGCTGTTTTCTTTGTGATAAGTCTTTGAAAGTTAAGTGTGTTGATTTCTCAATAATTACAACTGAATGTAAATTTCCCTTAAAGAAAGGTCAAATGCTTTAGTAAATATACATGTCATTTTTCCGCGGCTGCATGTCATTGTGTATGATGTCAGTGGATGGAGACTATAAATAAACATGGAATGCCTCGTGTATTTTACATCTATAGTTACTGTAGTATTTTTTAAAATTTATATTTACATTTTTATTTCACATATAAATGTTAATACATGTATAAGGAATCACCGTCTAGTTTGTTGGGTGTATATACCAGGGACATTAACGGCAGTTCATTAATGACAGTTGGAAACGTTGGATAATTTATTCTCCCTTTATGCAAATTATCCCACCTTTCCTACTTTCCTAATTCCCTTGCATCCCAACAAACTAGACAGCAAATCCTTGTTTATAAGATCCACGTCAAGTGATATTAAACAAAGACACAGAGAAGAGTGATATCGACCGTAGTCCACCATTTCTACTAAACAGAGATTACAGTCATTCTACAAAAACATGACCAATTAAGAATTTTTGATGTCGCTTGCAAATTTATTGTTATAATATCTTAATTATAAATTTAAAGGTCGATTTCAACTCTAAGACTTAAAATACACACATGGTTTTGTAAATATTCACCGATATATATGCAGTTCAAGTTTTGATATGAACATAATGTAATGTTGAAAAACGTATTCCACTGCAAATCTTAATGTCGCTTCATTGATATACAAATTTCAAGATGAAATTTTCAGCCGTAAAATGGTTCCGAATAGAGTGCAATGAATGTTAAAAAATTTCTTTTATCCTATAAAAAAAGAAGTCAATTTGAAGCAATTTTCGCAAAGAAATGCATAGATCTCCTTTCATGCGAATTTATAAGCATGTCGCTTAAAATCGATTAACTTCCGTAACGATTTTGTTTTAAATTTCACGCATAGAATGTAGATTTCAAAAAGAACAGAAACTTATCTGAAAGTGACCACGGAACCTTATATCATCGATTCTAGTTGCGAGTCAGCTATTTTAGACGATTACATTTTCGACATAACAAAATGAATTAGACAAAAACAGTTGTCTCTCTTAAAAATTTAATTTCCGTAAAGGTAATTCAGGAAAGTTTTTGCATTTAAGGTATAAAATTTTTGATTATTTTGGGAGCGAAATGCTTCATACTTTTGTTTAATATCCTAAAACAAACTTTGATTTTAACTATTGAAGAGAATTTTAACTTTTATTGCTGGGAATTAACTTCCGTAACGATTAACTTCCGTAACGATATTTTCCCCAAAAATTTAATTTAAATTCGGATTCATGCGAGACTTCATGACTCATACTTTAGCGTTCTTTACTGAACACCAGAAACGAAAAATTGGTCAAATTCAGCTTTATTTCAAAAATAATAAGGCTTGATCAAGCATTAACTTCCGTAACATTACCTTAAAATCAATGGTATCTTGAAATTGTTGTAAAAAGTTAACGATACCTGATTTGTGGACAATTCTTTGTTTTCAAGTTCACTGATAGGTCCTTTAGAGAATTATGATGTTCATTTTGCTATTTGAAACAATTATTTTTTTCATGTTTTTTACTCTGAATTGGTCCATTTATCGTAGAATGACTGCATGTTATCCATTGCAAAAATATAGATCTAGAAATGCACTTGTGCCTAATAGATAGTTTTATGAATTGAGTTATACCTATGAGATGTAAATCGTGTAATATCTCTGGTTCAAATAAAATACGAAAACAAATTGTACGGATAAATTGATACCTTCTTTGTAAAGTACACAACATCTGTACAATAAAGGTTATATTAAAAAAAACTATTTGTACGAATTGTCTTCAATAAAAACAATATCAACTAAATAATGTCATAATAAAGGCCGACTCAGCATTAATAAACAATTAGCATTCAATCATAAAGGTAATACCCGTACTTAAGTCAAGTATATGCCTCTAAATGTACTCTCCTTTTTACCTTAATTGCAAAGAAGCCATAAGAGTTATTTTACGTACATGAATTACATATTACATAATAATTTAATTTCGTTTGTATTCTAGCCTCTGATTGGTTAATATCCAAAAAGGAACACAAATTATTTCTGTATAACCTGGATTGGTATGGGGACACACCCCCCTGACAACCAGCTGAATCATCTGTATCCATACAATCCTCTCTTTTTCCAGTCCTCGGGATTCATGGAAAATTCCAGATTGAATAAATGTACCTTTAACTTCAAACAATAATTCGATCTTACCACATGTAAACAAACAACAAAGCTGCTAGGCCTATGTATCAGTTTTTACCTCCCCTCGCTTCCCATCACTTCCGTTACTTCCGTTACTATGGTTGTATTATTGAGCGGCAAATTTGAACTAATAAAAAGCAACGAAATTTTACACCCATAGTTATTTAATGATTTTAAAATTAAATTATAAGAAATGACTCTAATTCTTGGCCAAATTATTCGAGTATAACCTGGTTTGAGTCAGTTTACGCTGTTTTATAATCCGCTTCGCGGATTATAAAGCGTAAACTGACCCAAACCAGGTTATACTCGAATAATTTGGCCAAGAATTAGAGTCATTCCTAAATTACATGACTTTATCAAATTAGATCATAAAATGTTGAGACCTAGGTGAATATGTAGCCAATGTGCCTCTTATGTTAGAAAAATTCCGAAACATTATTGCACATAATCATTAACAGGACATCAGCAATCATAATCATTATTCCAAAAGATGATATGGCTATACCATGTGTACTGTGTAAAATGTAAGAGGAGTTCTATCTGATCCGTTTTCTTTTAAGGAAAAGCATCCTTTATAAACCCTTTATTGGCGCCCAGGATGAAATCGAAACTCCAAAAATTATTGCACATCTACAGGACACCTCCAATCATTAAATAGATGAATTTGCAACTGCTTACAATGTACATGTTACAGGAGTTTCAGGAGTTCCGAAAGACAGGTTTGTCAGTCGATTCCAAAGACGAGTTATTGTTCTTCTGGATCGATATATACATGTACTCACTCGTACGTGGAATATTTGAAAAATAACTAAATTTACGACAATAAATTAAAAAAATTAGTAAAAATAATTATGCAACTGATAATTAACAACAAATATATTTATTCACTGTGGTAAATTAAGTTATGTATACAACTGCGCCATTCGAAAAACCACAGTTGATAAGGGGACAAAACGCATGTAAGTATAAAGTTAACGCATTAGAAAATTAATACGAGTAAAGAGCTAAAGCCACGAACCATCAAATTTGGCCCTGTGTTTTTCACAAAAATAAAGTTTTGATTCAACAAGAGTCCTATACATTAAATGTTAGAGGACAACATACTTATTTTCCATACGTAACTTATTTTGTTAAATAATGCGCCATTAGGCACGTGCGACGGTTGGAACATGCGATGGTGTGATATAAGCGTTAAAAAATGCCGATTTTTCGACAAATTTTTTCAAAGTTGGTTGTGGCCACAGTCAAGAACAACTTTTATACTTACCATAGATATAGATATTGCCGATACAAATCTTTATGCTTATTATCGTTGTTGTTCGTGGGTGTGGCCAATATGAAATTTGATTTTATATTTAAATTTTGATGCATCAAATAATCACTAATTTGTGAATCAATCGTTAACATTTAATTCATACAACAATAAAAAATTACAAATTTCACAAAATATGCGAAAAAAGCAATTTATTGTTCGTTTAAAACGCTTATTGTGGGAAAAAACCCTCAAGAATAAACATTTTCTAAAATAAATATCTGGCAAAACATTTTTTTATTGTGAATACATGTAGGTCCATTATATATGACGTTACTAATAATACGTCAGTTATGACGTCATAAAGGCTCTAAACTATTTGGAATGTTGCTGAAAAGTTTTTATGCTCTGGAATGCTGTCATTATTTGTATGATTTAAGCCCAACTGGATGATACCATCAGATTATTAATTATCAGAAATTCACGCCAAATTGTTTTCTTTACTGCCCTTAACACACCCACCCCAACCCCACCCCCCACAATGCCTGCTATTTTAAAGCTGTTATTAGACCTACAATTTTATATTTAAGCATTTTTTTAAATATATATTTATTTTTATTTATTCATTTTTGATATTCTTGCGACAAGTTTAATAATGTTGTGCGTGTTAACAGACATGACTCAAATTGTAAACAAATTAAAAGAGAATGTAGCAAAGATATCACGCTAGACCTCTGTAAAACAAACGAAATAATAAAAACATAGCTTGCTGTGTAAAGTGAAATTTAAAAAAAAAAGGAATTAAAAAATGCATTTGGATAATCATCTACATTTCGGCTAAACAGAATCTAGGTCATGGGCGCGGGTTCATCAAGTGCAAGTGTTTTGACGAAACCCGATATCGATACACACATGCATATATACTATAACTATTTTAGGAATGACTTTAATTCTTGGCCAAATTATTCGAGTATAACCTGGTTTGGGTCAGTTTACGCTTTATAATCCGCAAAGAATTAGAGTCATTCCTTATAATTTAATTTTAAAATCATTAAATAACTATGGGTGTAAAATTTCGTTGCTTTTTACTAGTTCAAATTCTATACACTTACGTGTGCGTTGATCCAGTAACACAAAAAGAGTGGTGGCATATAAATACCAAACGTAGTTTCTTAACCTCGCCATGCTTCTGTTGCCTTCTTAACTTCCTGTAAGTAGGAAAGCATAGATCGGGTAATAATATTATTAATAATATTATTGAGATTAGAAAGAAGATAATGTATGATAATGTATGATTGAAATAAATTATGTTAACTATGCTTTGTGGCAACGCACTTTGAAAAAATTACGCACTTTGAAAAAATATTTCAAAGTGCGTTAATTTTGGGACAAAATCGTTGTAACAATGCTTACTGTCAAATTATTCGTATATGTGACAAATTTCAGAATAAATATGTTTCTTTCTTTTTCTCTTTTTCTCTTTTTTATTGAAATAAAATAAAACAAGCATTCCGAGAGTATTGCATTAGCAATACTAGTCCCCTACCGGCAAGTGTAATCTGGTTCCCGTTAAGAATTGAAAATGTCATAATTGCGTCAAAAATCAATGAAGTGGAACAAAATGCAAACTTGATCTATAACTAGTCAAGGTAAAGTCACATTCCAAAAATCAGCTCAATATCTGCAAGCGTTTAGAAAAAAAAATTGCGGAAAACCCTTAAAAATTGAAAAGGCCATATTTCCGTCAAAAATCAATGAAGCGGAACGAAATGCAAATTTGTTCTGTAACTCATCAAGATACACTCACATACCAAAAATCAGCTCAATATCTGCAAGCGTTTTGGAAAAAAAAACAATGCAAAAGTGCGGAAAACCAAGTGAGACAGACTGACAGACAGACAGAGGGACAGCTAGACAGAAGACAGACGGACAGACAGACAGAAGACGGACGGACAGACTCAGAGGAAACCTACAGTCCCCTCCGGTTTCACCTGTAGGGGACTAATTATAACAAGGTTTACAGCAAAGATGAAAAGTGCCTGCTTTACTTTAGTGATGGATTAAAAAGTTTATAAACAGGTTCAGGTAACGTTTATCCAATACACACTCAAAGGCTCAAAGCTAGGGTATATAGCTGAGTTAAAGATGTTCAGTAAGATAAAAAGTAGCAATAACATGAATGATGACATTTGATAAATATTAAATATTTACAGATTTCACAAAAAGCATAAAAGTATAAAACATAAATCAGGTGGGTGCTTGTTTGTTATACTGTAATTGTACAGGAATATAGTCACATTTAAGTAGAACCTTTAAAATTTATATCATATAGACTGGGTCAGTGCTCGTTTACTTTTATCCAGGCTGTGACCTTAAGAATGGTTGACATGATATACGAACTTGTACAATTGCATATTAACTGTATCTTAGTAAATGGCTCAGTGTCCGATTTGGAGGAAGGCGGGTGTGGGAAGTGGAATGGAGACTTCGGAAGTACAGGCTCACCCCCCCCCCCCCCTTTAAAATTTTCAATTCATAATAATTCAATTTTCCTTACTTTCATCACTTTGAACTAATGTACTTCTACGGAGAATTTTTTCTGTTCATTTTCCGATGAATGTAATGTCAATTTTAGTAACCGAACTACTTTTCATTATTCATTTTGATACAGCTGTTGTTTGTGTTTGTCATTCCAATAATAGAAGAAACCCGACTGTGTTATAAACTAATAGTCTCTAAAACGTACGACAATGTTCTTTTCATGATTTAAATTCAGCTTCTGTAAATCTTTTGCTTCTCTCCGTGTGCTTTAAAGGAAATATTTTAATCATATATTTCTATTTTTAAATCATACAATAAAAATTCTTGTTGCATGAGAAGAAAAAAGAAAAATATTCAAATAAATTATAAAGCGAGGTAATTGTTGTCAATGGGTAAAGCCGGGGATGGCAAGGGATATAACTCTGTAAAGAAGCACGTGTTTTACGTTTTTTATTTGTAAAGAAAGAATTTACATTGAATTTAGTACAAATTGAAAACCAAACTAGAAAAAAAAAATGTTATGTAGGTTATGAAAATTAAATGATAAGAAGGACCTTAGACTAAGTTTTCCTGATGTGAGTGTTATTATCACATTCTCAAGTAAATTCGTCTGCACATCAAACTTATACAGGGTATTAACCATGTTAATTGACACAAGTTGTACGTGTATTTTTAGGTGTATCGACAAGCAAGTTTATTTCTAGATTTTTTAAACCTGAAGATATCTCTTTCTAATATTCCACTGCACTCCACTCGACGTGTTACCGTTGACCGTTTGCTTACTGACAATAAAGCAAGTTTCTGCATGCTTTATGTGTAATCGCTTTTAAAAATTGCACGTGCAGATTTTCATAACTCACGTAATCGATAACTTAGTAAATCATTATAAAGACAATAAAGCATAACGGGGAATTCTTTATTTTTATGACATTTAAAAGAAAATTATACCCGCCCTGTGTACTACAGGCTTTTAGATCCGCTCCCAAGAATCGTGTAATTTTCCAATCGATATATTTCTACGCACCTGTCGGCATGTAAATTCCGTGCACAATTTTTTGAGTTAGCTAAATAATGAGTATGTACGTGAAAAGAAACATGTTTTTCGCTGAAATTGAATTATAAACATTGACTATATAAATTATTTTGTTCATTGAGAAATGAATCTAAAAAACGAATCGCACACTTTTTTATGAAAGCCTTCGGCTTTCATAAAGTGTGCGATTCGTTTTTTAGATTCATTTCTCAATGAACAAAATAATTTATATAGTCAATCCTATAATAAATCCTAGTTATTTCTTTGAAAAAAAAAAGAAAGAAATCAAGATAAGAAAAAAAATTAAATAAACGAGCTGCAATTAATATAGCCTAAATACACTTAAAATAAGCTTGCAATGCTTCATATGACTTGATTCTCAGACTTTACTAATATTTCACAGAGACTATTTAATTATTAATTCTAATCCTTAAGGAAGCTCTAAACACTATCAAAAGGTGCTTTTTGGACTTGCAGAAAAATACGTCATATCAAGGTATGCATATTGAGACTATTTAGTTCATTTTTAACATTAGGTACCTGCCTTATTTCGGCAGAAAAATGTTCAGGGACAGGGACTTTTCATAAACAGAAATCACTGTTGTTTACTTACACTGGAAAAATTAATGGAAATAATGAATTTAATTACTTATTCTTGGTCTAATATAATGTTTAGAATATTTTAATCTATTATGTGTAATCGACTGTAAATGGCATCATTTTTTTTATCTTACTTCTAAGGGCAGATCACTCTAATTGCACAAAACTACCCTACAAGTAGAACTCTTTTGTGTACAGTGTTTAGAGCTTCCTTAATCGTACCGAAAAATACTTACTCAGATGACTTCATCATATTCATATTCTGACCCCCCCCCCCCACACACACACACAGGGCGGATATTGGGGATACGCCCTAATACAATATAGATTTATCCGAGTCTGTCTTTTTCTGTCGCAGGGACTAGGAAAAGAAATCATCGGCTGTGAGAGATATAGGTCCTTATGCTTCTTTCAACTGGTTAGGAAAATCATATCGATTAGGCCTAGGTCTTCTTTTTGGCGCTTGATATATCTGCAGGTTTACCTAATTATCATTATCTTAGTCGGCCAAAATTCTGCATGTTCTATGATAATTATTACCAAGATGTCCGTTTGCAAAACTGATGATTTACCGAGCATGCAGGAAAAATCTATCTTTAACATACCAGGTTGACCATTTCTAAAGAGTGAAAAAAAAACAACCCACCAATATGTAGAATTTTCTTGTTTTCCGTATGAATTTGTACGCCACTCAAAGAAAACTTACCGCACCCGGAGACTAGTCTCAATGAATCATACATATATTTTACACTCCCATGCAAATGCCTATCAATATAATTAATACATACCCTGGTTCATTAATGATGTCACAGTACGAGAGATATCTCGAACATGTCAAACGCTGAACCACATCCTAACGCCATACTTGAAAGTACGAAGCACCGTTAACGTATAAATTCCGCTCTTATAACAATTTGATGACCGTCAAGCGAAAACCACCCTTATTTAAAATATCAATTGTGACGTTATGGGAGAAAACGAGCGCTAAAGTTGACGTCATAAATGTTTGTCGTATTTTGCAAATAAATGCAGCGTGAAGACGCATCATTAATTAAAACATTTCTTTATAAAGTAAATGCCTAGACTAGACAACATAATAAGTAGTCTTAAGTGTAATTATTAAAGCCTACTGTTTAGTATTAAAAAATATAATTTTTTAACGATTTTTAGCAAACTTAAGGTGAAAATCTTTCGAAGTAGCGAATGCACGATCTTCGCCTTTGTTTTCATTTTCAAGGAGCATTTTCTTTTTACTTCTAAAATACAAATATAGGGAGAAATCGCATATTATCTTGAGGCTTGGGCAGTAACAAAAAGAACATAGATCTACTCTTATTCAACATGATTTTTTGTCACTATTAATTAATATTTCTATATTTATAATAAAAAGCATAGAAAACCTAATCAAAGTGTAAAGCCAAGGTGTAGGATTTTATACAAAGGCATGGAAGTTTATTTGCATACTAAGCAGCATTATGTACCAAAAATAAAAAAAAAAGCTTGAAGGAACTGGGAGGGGGGGGGGCACAGGAATATAATTTATCAGTATATAATTTAATTTGGAAAACAAAGCGATAAATTTACAGTTGTGCACCCTCGGTACAATTTGGCCAGTTTATACTATAACAAATGAAAAAGTTCGTTTGGCTTTGTTATTGCGCATGCTTGTCAAGAATCCCCGTTTTGTACTGTTTTGTTTGCCAAGAATCCCCCCCCCCCCAAAAAAAAAAGAAATTATAAAAAATGAAATTGCTTCCTACGTGCCAGAAATAATCTACATGGATCTTATCATGTACAAGTATCGCTATTGAAGGGAAGTAACCTGCATTATAATTATTTATTGTTACATGTACCTGGCAACAGGAAGCGTTCAGTATTCACCACTTCCTCCAAAGATTTTTCTTTTCGGTATCTGTGTGTATTTTATTTGCATGTTTATCGATATTTAGAGGGTAAAGCATAAACTATTCATTCTATAAAATAGTTGCTAAAAAAGAGTTTAAAACAAATCGATATTTTAAAATATTTAATCTGTTCATACTCTGAAAGGATTAATACTGCAACATTATGAATCCTTCGATCAGTTAATCAATGACAAACACAACCTACATGTCTTGGGAAAAGATGAGAAATTATCATGAAAATGAAATCATTTAGACTCTAAATTGTGTTGTATACTAAATTTATGGAAATAATACTAGTAATACATGGTTTAGGGTGGGTATAAGCAACTTTTACTTTGATGAGGTCATAGAAAAAAAATTAATTAAATTGATTCAAATAAAACTTGAAACTGATGTAATATTTAGTATGTAAGCTATTTTAAGGGGATGAAGGACACATGGTCACATGACTTTGTTAAACTACGTCATAGTCTCCATTTATATAAGTGCAAAACGTGTAAAGCATCAGTTCCTGTATAAATTTTTGACAATTTTTTTTTTAATTACCATCTTATATTAAAAAAAATAAAAAGTTTAACATTCTTGCAAACATTAACAAATTATGAAAAAAGATTGATCCACTCCTCTGTTTTTTTTAAACTGCGCGTCCAACAAGTCGGTGACGTCATACACGATCTGCTAGTACAGCAAGATCATACTCGGTGAATACAAGGGCGGTATTATTATGTAAAAACAGGTCATAATCAGTATATGATGAAGTATTTTGAGAAACGGGGAAAACAGAAATTATTTTTGCATGGCTGATGACGGAAATCTTATGTAGGTATATCTTATTTCGCTTATTTAGCTTACGTGTGACGTCATAGTTGGTTTTTCCCGTACTCGAGAAATGTAAACATGACAAGTTTTTGTCCTGCTTATGTCGTCTTTAACGATGTGCTGTGCAATATTGAGGTCAGCTTCACCATTTGAAATTTTTACAGTTAATCAGTAATTTGAAGGACTTGCATTTCAACGTAAATTTAAAAATATTGAATGATAGGATTTTTTGTAAATTACGTTTTTTGTTGTTTAAGTTGTCTTAAAAAGTTCGTAATTTTCCCTATCCAGATGCAGTGTGATACATGAAACTTGCCTTTTCGAATTTTAAACCCAATTCATACTCTAAAATATTTTAAAAGATACATGTTCACTTACATATTTTTATATATGCTTTAAAAATCCAATTATGGACAGAGTAATGAGCCCGGAAACATGGAGAATTAAAACTCCACTTAGATACTGTAGGGCATAATATTTTCATATAAAAAAAAAGATATGTGGGTTGTGGGGGATTTTCGTTTAACTCGAATATATTGTTTTTGGTCTTAAAATTTTTCTAGTCATTGGATAAATTGATTTTCAGCTCCGGGATCGTTGTGCGCTTTTTGCCTGTGAGAGGTTTTTAGACACAGGGGAACAATTCTTACAATCCCCTGGTCTTGACCAGATTGACCCAAGTTAGCTGGGTTATTAGTGGTCCTTTATTTCTCAAACTGAGGTTCCAGTTTGCATGAATCTACTCTTCCTAGGATATGTTCCCTTCCTGTCTATATGTTATGGGAAGTGGTCCTAGCTGTTACCCAACCTGTATAAATGCAACCAGAAAGAGACAAAATCCAGCAGACCACCCTTTATTAAATTAACACATACATTCTAATTATTTACAATTACTAAAGTTACACAATACACAATATAATAAACATTATAATAAATACGAAACATTTCTATCAGATTATAAAATATATTAACCCGTAAATACATTAAGCCATCTGAACATTTTAACCATCTTACAGAAATCGCGCAAGTCTATAAAAATATCTTACCTGTATAAATGCAACCAGAAAGAGACAAAATCCAGCAGACCATGTGACCGGCTGGATATGTCTCACTGCGCTACATTTATACCCCCGTACATGCCCTGCATATTTGAGTATTTCTTCAAAATTTGCACTAATGACTTTTAATTTTGCTCTGAATTTAAGTTAATCTTATCCGACCTTAAACCCTCTTTTTATCTTAAATTGCTCTTTAAAATTTTTGTTGAACTTTTTGCATAATCTTGACTTCTTATTTCCTGTAGGTAATTTATACAGATGCATGACCTCTGATCCCTTGCATCAACCTCTTTGATTGGTTACACCCTTATTCTTAACCAAACCAGCATCTTATAAACAAGTTCTTAATCTATAAATAAATAGCAACCTTCATGGAGCTAATTATCAGCGGTGAAAAGATCATCCTGCACTCATGCCCAGCATCTTTATCCTGCGCGATCGGCTAAACCTTAATACGTTTGCTACTTTACCCCCCGAGATTTATAAATTCCTCAATATTCTATTTTTATGCAATTTTTGTTATGATAATATTTGTCAATCAATATCTCTAAAATAAGATAAGAAACCTAATGATATAACTGCTTTAAGATATGTGGGACATACTTAATAAGAAATATACAAAATATAAAAAAAATTGAATGACAAGTATTTTTTCAGCTCAAGGTCCTTCTTCCCCTTAATGTGTCATTTAATTGACCAATCAAACCACAATTGTATAACTGTATTAGAAACTTCTAGGAGTTAGCGTGCTGTCGGGTTATTTTCCTCCTTCTACCGTGCAACCACAGCAAAATGAAGTTTATTAAAGTATGGTCTCGCTCAGCCAGCAGGAAGTAGACATGCAGAGGGATTATATATAACACTATTCAAGGCTCTTTGTACAACCCGCTGCACCCTTCTCAACAGATTACGACACGTGCATTATGAACTGGACTATTCTTAAGCGCTTTCAATTCCGCACCACGTACATGTATCCCAAGTTGACCTACTGTGTTTTGGCCATGCATGGTACTTAGTGCATATAACGCTCTCTCTCTCTCTCTCTCTCTCTCTCTCTCTCAAAAAAGGAATTGTTTTAATGCTGCATTTTTGCACAAATCGTCTCATGCCACTCTCGATCTGCATAAAATCTGTCCAGAATTAATGTGCGAGGATCGTATACCGGTATTTTGGTCATTGTTTCCGATGGTGTATTTCAGGGAAAACTTCTTAGATTCTAAAGGCGAAATCAGGTGTTATTTAAAAGTGTACTTGTGACAATGCTTCAGATCTCATTTCTTTTTAATATAAAAATGTATGTCACGCCAGTAGGAGGGGTGCACGAAACGTGTGCTTAAAAGAGAAAGCAGCAGTACCCCTCCCTCATCACTGGTCTCTAAATTTTACGTTTTAGAAACTTTATTCTGTGCTGAAATCTTCATCCTGATAATTATTTTTTCATAAAAAAAATATGGACCCCAGCCACACTGCAAATTACGAATTCACTTCTGGTAATGCATTTATATCTGCATAGCTGAAACAAATACGCATGTAGGTCAGGTATTAATTGTCTTAATTTTAGCAAAATTGTCGTCTACAATCAAGCAGGAAAAACACATTTTCAGTTTGTCAATTATTTTCAAATGATTAATTCTTTTCCTAAAACAGACATGTATTTATCATGATTTATCATGAAGACTTGCTATTAAAAACTTTACTTCCATGCAAGTCCTGTACTTTGATAAGAGGTGGTGGATGTTGGACTTCCTTTAATAAGTAAGCTATATAGACGGAGAGAAGTTGATTGATTTGTGAGCTTGCATTCCACCACGAGGCGCGAGAAGTGCACATTTTCAGCAGATAAGAAGGAGGAAGGGACTTCCTTCCGTTTACTGGAAAACGAAGTTCAGTGCCAAAAGCCAAAGATTAAATTACAGCGATATGTATTATATACATCTTTAATGCAGTGTCTCTTCAGCAAATTTTGTTCATCTGTTTCCGGCGAAATGTGTAGTGGCGGCTAGAGAGGATGATTTCTTTATAAAGCTCTTTGTGCCATTTGTGCGAGATTAATAGAAAGATGCAATTAAATCTGCTCCTCAAACTGCTCCAAAAAAGAATA